AAAATAAGTTAAAAAAAAGAAAGATTGATGAGAAAAAAGATATTTTATAAAATAAAAAAATATTAAATTAGTCGCATTCAATATTAGTTCTAGAGACTAAATAATTAATTTTTAAAATTAAAAGATTAATTAATATGTTTCTCTAAACGAGAGAGACTAATTTATACTTTTCCTCCAATTAAAAGTGTATTCTGAGTTTAATCTCTTACCCAATATTTTGCTTCATCATGTCACCGTTCTATGGGTTTTTGATAGAAAAAACAGTTCCGTAATCCATCACAATTGAACTCAAAACAAAATTCAGCTACCAATAACAGTAAACTATAAATTAGTCCCTCTAGTTTTTAGTAATTAGTTTCATTTGTTTCAAAAGATAATTATTTAATATTTTAACTAGTGTTGACAATGTTTAATTTAATATTATTTTATTTTTAAAAATATTTTCTTCTCGTCAATTTTTTCATATTATTTATTAATTTTTTTTCAATTTAAAAAAATAAAAAAATAAAATTAAATAATTAGTTTTTGACAAAAAAGAACTAATTATTAATATCTGAAACAAAGGGACTAATTTATAATTTATCCAACTAATAATAATCAGTCAAAATATTAAGGATAGTTCAGTCAGAGTTTTTGACGTTTGTAAACTCCATTTTATTTTATTAAATTAAATTACGACCACAGAAGGAAAGATAGAGAGAGAAGTCACGTCACTCATATTGCACATGAGCTAGACGCTTGAGTTTTTCATACCAATCATCGGTCTTGTTTGGGACTTTGGATGGTGATGTTTGAAGGCATGGAAACAATTTCATGGTGTGAATCAAAGATACGAATGAAATTTGTCATTTTTATGCCATTTTATGAATTTCGGTGCTAAATGAAAATGACATTTCAATTTTGCGAGTTGAGCCTACGTGCACTTAATTATGTATATTGGAAGTTTGATTTGATTGAAAAATATTAAATTGATGCTTTTTACACTTCTAATCCCAATTAAACAAAATATAAAACGGGTCTTACATAACAATTTCTTCTTGCAAAGTGAAATGAAATGAAATGGAATTGATTCCCTGTCATAAACTTATCCGGGAAGGAAATTATAAAAATTTATAAAAATTAAGAATCGTATAGTTAGGTAAGGTTTTACAAGCCTTCAGATTAAATAAGTCTCCACTAAATATCATCGCTCGATGAAATATATATATATATATATATATATATATATATATAGACGTAAAAAAATACAATATTTTTCATAATTTATATAATTATATATCTTCTATATACGTCCATTTTCTTTTCCTATCAAATAGAACTCGATGGTCCCGTACATGGGAAGGTGCACCTGAATATCTTCATTCTCTTCTCAAACCATTTTCAAGTTAAAATACGATAGATAATCACCCATTTATGAACCATGCTAAAAAAATCAATCTCCAAAATCCACTAAAGAGCCTTTTTCTTTACGAAAGAGAACAACAAAACAGTATAAACACACTCTCTAAAATATGGCAGAAGCTTAATAAGTTAGACAGTGTGAACTGCTGCTGCTGCTTTAATGTTATATTATTTGACAGAACAGGAAGATTTTGTTAGGTAATCAGTGATTCAGTGGAATAAACAAGCCAGGGCAGTTGTCTGTTCGAAGGACACGAAGAGCACGCAGACAAGATGATCGATCACCAACCAAACCACCGATCACTTTTTTAAAAGAATGTTTATCTAATTGATAGCATTCAGGACTCTCACATGAATCTCGATGCAGAGATTGGACCCAAAGTAAACAAATATTAAATAATAATAGTAACATTTCGTTTTATTTTGTTGGTTTTTAACGGCAAAAGCATTATAAAGTTCGTTTGTACGTTTTATTTTTTTCCCTCAGTTCTATCGTAGAAATGACAATGGACAGATATGAAATGAGTATGACTCTATTTAGTTCGATAAATATTTTTTAAAAATATTTAATTTATATTGAGGTAGATAAATAAATAAATACATAAATGTTAATATAATTTTAAGATATATATGGGTACTCACTTTATATACTATTAATAGCCATTAATTTTTTTTCAAAATAATAATTAATATGCAGGATCTGATTGCATAAAATTTATAAATTAGAAAACAAAATTTTTTTTAGTAAAAACTTTGAAGACAAAAAAGCTTATAAATAAAAAACTAAATTATATATAAAAAATACTAATATCAAAGACCAAATTGACTTTTTGAAATTACAAAGACTTGAATAATTTTTTTTATAAATTGTTTTAACCAGATATTAAATAAACACATAAACCGAGTATGAATCGAGTATAAATTAAAAAATATTTTATGACATAATATTATTTTTTTAACCCATAGAATAAAAGATTGATTTAATAAGCCGAATATTCCTAATTTTAAACCATTGATATATCCACGTTGAAATCAATGTATTTATTAAAAAAATATTGTTTCAATCAAACACCACATTGAACTCGAACTTGATGTATTTTTAGTTTTTATTCATTCATGTGAAGAAACAATTTTGATTATATATGATTTGTTCGTATGAAAAAGAAAAAAAAAAGAGAGACTGAAGGCCATAAAAACTCAATCATCATTCACAAAGGAAAGCAATAAAAAAAAATCAAAACATGGAGGAAAAATCACCAGAAATCCTGCTTAATTAATTGTGTAGTACTATTTGTGTGGTGCGGGGGAACATGAAGTGGGTCTGATAAAAAAAAAAAAGAAAATAAGAAAAAAAATGGTCGGCCGTGTTAGTCTATATTCTATAGTACATACTCTATACTATTTATTTCATTAATTTATTTCTAGATGCCATATGACAGAAAAGGGAATATCCAGTATAAAATATTCATAGGAATAGAATCATGGGAGACCGTCAGCAAGTGTGAACATGAATATTTTAATCAAAACGTACAAAGATTATTTTGAAAACAAGGTATGTGTCAAGCACATACACCCCGGGCTTTGAAAATGGTAAATATGGCTTTCATATTGACCCTCTTTTCTATGGACGCATTAAATAATTTAATTTTGAAAATATAGCTTAATTTATCAGCTCCTTTTCTTACTGTAAAATTCTTCCATCTCCCATTTGGCTACGTTTCAATACATACTTTTTTTTTTTAATGGAAATGCGATTTTCGGTTCAAGAGGAATCCTCAAATTAGTCTCTAAACTCCAATTTGGATTTCAGTTTCTTTTGTTTCAATTGGATCTCCAAAAAATATACAAAAAATCTCAATTGAATTTTTTTGTCCAAATTTCACAAATTTTAAACTGAAAACATATAGCTATTTGCAAAATAAGATTTTTTTATTTATGAAGCAAAAAACACATAATTTTATCAATAAATTATTGGCTTAGTGATAAACGAATTAGTTTCCAAACGAATTTTCTGTTAATATATAAATTTTAAATCTTAAATTCGTATTTATTAAAAGAAATTAAATTTTATCGTTTTTATTTTGAATATTACTAATTATATCTTTAATAGTGAATAAAAATACTTGAATAAACAAAAAAGACACAATTTTGACACATTCCATAGCCAATATAGAGAAGAGAAATGAACTCAAAATTTTGTGGAAATTTTGGGATCCAATTGAGATAAATAGCTATTTGTTTATTATTCATCCCATCCCACCACAGCTTGGATAAATTATGTACGTATCTGGACCAGAAAGTTTTCGAGTTTTGAGTTCTGACAGCCCTGTTATCCTATGTTGGAGGAAAGTAGCGTCCCAAGTAATTGCTGGTCCAGTCGTTATTTAGTGTCCAAGTGCAGTCCAAGATCCAGTTGGCCAACAACTGTAAAACAGTCTCGAGTTGCCAATTGCGAACTTTCCAATACAGAACACCAAACAGCAAAGACAACCGTAAGGATTTTGCTCTTTTCTCGTCTTCTCCAAATAAAATAATCATATACCAATCGAATGAATCGTGTTTTTTTAAGAATAAACTATAAAGTAGAGCTGTAAAACAAGATTGATTTGTCTTGGTCTATCTCGTCCTAGATCGATATGTCCTAACTCCCAAATCAACCTTGCTTACTCTTTTTCTTCTTGCCTTTCTCGTCTACACGAAAGAAGAAGGAAAAGAAAAATCATATTGTGAATTATCAGAAATAACCCAGCTTTTATCTTCTTTACAACTCATTTTGCTGAAAATTGCGAATATTCCATCAAGATTTAGCTTCATCCCAGCAGCGAAAGTGTCAAATATGGTTATGGGGATCAAATCAAATCAATAATATTCATGCTGGTAGAATCAATGCTATTCTGTGTCCAAGACCTAATGCTTTCACATCATGCGCAAACTATAAAGTAATCCCTGAAGTTTATGTAATGTATAAAAGGAAAATTAGATGCAAATATATATTACTAAAGTCCTATATATTCTTGATTTTTAGATTTACATTAGACTGGATTAGTTTCTCATCCATTACATATATGGATTTCATTAATAAATCTTATAATATAAAGCTGATATTTTTCCATGAATGAATTTGGTAAAACTATTAAGTAAAAATATTAATTTTTCTTCTTCTTCTTCTTTTTTGAAAGGAAAAAAAAAAAAAAGAGTAATAAGGACAGAAATGTAATTATGCAAGGGAAAGCTTGGTAGTTGTAGGACTTAAAAATGCGTAGAACAGATTCACAGGAAAGAAGGGGACGCAGAAATTTAATATAGTGTTTGATTTGGATTTTGAAAGCAAATCAAATTAACAAATAGTTGGCGAGAACGTGTCTTTCTTTTGTTGTTTAATACAAGCACTTGGCGGTTTTCATTCACTGCATTTTGTCGTCTCCCTTCTCTCTATCTCTCTGTCTCTCTGTCTCTTTCTCTTCTCTTCTCCATGTATTCTTTACGTTTCCCAGTAACTATTATTTCCCTTGGATTTTCTCGTCCTTCATTCATTCCTTCACTTATTACTCCCTAGCAGTTTTTTATTCTTCTAAGTTGCTGGTTTTATCGAGAGAAAGATGGGATTCTTGAGTACTTTCTTCGAACTTCTTGGTTTTGGAATTGGACTTCCTTTTGGTCTCTTGATTGGTTTCTTTCTTTTCGTTTATTCTAAGCCTAAAGATGTTAAGGTAATTAATTATATCATCATCATTATCTGTATTTGTTAGTTTTTTGTTTTTGTTTGATCATTGATGTTGTTAAAGTTATGTTCTTTGTTAATTTGATCATTGTTCTACTCTGATTGATTATGTTGTTGTTCTCTGATCTTTTTTCGGTTAAGATTGTGGAGTCGTAGTTCTGCATTTGTTTACGTGAAGATTCTTAATTTTGCCATGTTCTATGATTGTGCTTTTTCGTGGAAATCCAGTTCTTCGTTGCAATGTTGTGTTCTTTAGCCTAAGTGGGATTGGATGTGCAATGATGTAATGTTGCTGAATATAAAAATGGAGAAGAACTGGGATTTTACTGAGATTTTACAGATTGTGGGGCTATTATTTGAAAGGTCAAAGGAGAATTATTTGTAGTTTGAATTGTGATTTCTCTTTTTTTTTCTTTGTTCTTTTTGTGGGGCTATTTTATGGAAGGAAGAATAGTTATTTTTTTTTTGTTTTTTTAATGTTTTTTCCTAACTCTTCTGGAATAGTTGAGAACATGTTGGATTGACGTTGCAATTATTTTTTTCTCTTTGATTTTTGTGTAGATTTATTGAAGGCCAAGTCTTTGTTTATTGCTCACATAATATGTATTTATGGTTTTGCTTTGCAAATTGCAATTTGTGGTTGTTCAATTTTGCTGATTGGGTCTACATTTAAGATGAATATGACTGATTACTTGTATTGTGGGTCTGCTTTGATTAGGTCACTTAATACTGCTTTTTTAGTTGACATTTCCTCTCACAACACTCGAGTGGGGTTGAAAATTGTGCTATCAGGTTAAGGTTTTCTGGAGAAATTTTGGTGACTTGTTGAATAGGTGTCCTTTTTTGAATTTCAAAACATGAAAGAAGTTCCTCCTAAAACTAGATTAATTAGTCGTAAATGCCTGTACCTTTCCTGGAATTAAGAAAAAAAAAAAAGGACTAGAATACTTTAAAGCAACTAAATTTCTAAGCGCTCTAAGTTAATGGTGATCGGTTCACTTGCAAGCAATGCACAAAGGTTTCCTTTGATTGCATTTGTCTCTGATGATTTGAATACAACACAAATACTTTTATTGTATCCTCAAAAATATGCTGTTTGACGTTGGAGAGGGTGCTGATAGCCTCTGCTTAACATGGTGTCATTTTAATTTTGGGCTATCTAATGCAGGATCCAGTGGTCAGGCCATTTCATGAGTTAGACACAGATGCTGTGCTAGATATTCTACCAGATATCCCATTATGGGTAAAATGCCCTGATTATGAAAGAGTACGTGCTGTAAATTATTCCTAATCTGTATGAACATTCATGTCGGCTATAGTTACTGATACTATTTTTCTTGCGTACTATTTATTTTTGTTTCTCAGTTTAATATTAATATATTATCTCAAATGCGTCACTATATTGATTATATTTATGTGATTATCACAGGTAGACTGGTTGAACAAGTTTCTCTCGGATATGTGGCCTTACCTTGACAAGGTGATTTGATAATTAAAACTGCCTTCATCTTGTTTAACTGTTTTCAAAATTTTCAGTTTATGGTTACATGCAGGCAATTTGTGCAATGATAAGAAGTACAACACAACCTATATTTGCAGAGTATATTGGCAAGTATATGATAGATGCCGTTGAATTTGAGCAGCTAACTCTAGGAACTCTTCCTCCTACAATTCATGGTAAGTTCATGATTATTGTGATTCTGGTAACTGAAAAATTTAAAGATCGAAAGACAGGAGAATTGCTCTTATTTTAGACTCATTTAAACAATGCAGCAACATTCTGAATGTTATCTTTTCCTTTGTTTGAGTGTATGCAATAACATTTGATCAAATTCATTAATTGGAGTGACCATGTGTTTTGTGTATTTCTTATTCTAGAGTTTCAAGAGTCATGTGCATCATACTCTAGCGTATTCTAGAATTCTAGATTTCTGTTCAATTGCAGAAATTATTCTGAACTTGAGCAAAATTTTTGATGAACTATATGCATCAAGCATTGATCCTTTAAGTTCCCTAATTTTTTAACTGCTCACTTGGAGTTTAATTTTGCAGGTCTTAAAGTCTATGAAACTAACGAGAAGGATTTAGTCATGGAACCAGCAATTAGGTGGGCTGGCAATCCCAACATTGTTTTGGTGCTACAGTTACTGTCTTTAAAAGTTAGAATTCAGGTCAGAAAGAGTAAGGCACAATGGTTAATAGTTTTGTTAGTTGGCTTAATTCTTATAAAGATGCTGCATGCCTCCCAATATACTCACAATGCTTCTTTGCAGTTAGTTGATTTGCAAATATTTATGGCGCCACGGGTAGCTTTGAAACCTCTTGTACCTACCTTTCCATGTTTTGCAAATATTGTGGTGTCCTTGATGGAGAGGGTAAGAAGTGTATTCTGCTACAGTGATATTTTTATCTTGATTAAAGGCAGATGACTAAATATACCTTGTGATCATTTTCTACTGATTTATCTGCAGCCACATGTAGACTTTGGACTGAAAATACTGGGAGGAGATGTTATGTCCATACCTGGCCTTTATCGAATTGTTCAGGTGCTGCACTGGTAATACTTACATGTTTGGTGTGAAGCAAGAATATTAGTGTTTCAGATGGATCATTGTTAAGATTCCTGGTATTAAATCAAACAGTTAGATGGGGGGTTTGAATCGAATAATTTTTCTTGTTGCTTGCAGGATATGATCAAAAAACAAATAGCAAGCCTCTACCTATGGCCCCAGACTCTCGATATACCTGTCCTTGATTCTTCAACGTAAGTTTTTATTTGATGATGAACCTCATATGATTATTTTAAACTGTCCATTCTTCCGATGAATTTAAGTTCCATGTATATAATTCTCATTTGTTTCACTTGTGCTGTCTACTCGAAAAAGTCATTGTTGGTCTACTTTGCATCTGAAGATCGGATAACCAAAGTTGGTCATAAATAGGGCTTCAAAGTTCAAACAACAGTTTAGATTCTCAACAATATGATTCTATAATTCATGTTTGAAAATATTAGAATTATCTACAAGAGTGGTGAACGTGCAGAATTAGATTTAGAAATTTTTCCTTGAATTCATACACAATACACAATTTTTTTTACCAAAAATTCATCTTATTACCTGATTTTTTTTCCCCTTTAGAGTGATTATAAAGAAGCCTGTGGGGATACTTCATGTGAAAGTTGTGCGGGCAAAGAAACTTTTGAAGGCTGATATTCTGGGAACATCTGACCCATACGTCAAACTTAACCTGACTGGAGAAAAGCTGCCAGCAAAGAAAACTACAATCAAGAAGAAGAATCTGAATCCTGAATGGAATGAGAACTTCAAGCTTGTTGTCAAGGATCCTGAATCTCAAGCTCTTCAATTACAAGTGTTTGACTGGGACAAGGTTTTCCCTTAAAGATCTAACATTGATTTCTTACGTTTATCTACATTTTTTAGCATCTAAGAATCCTTTGAAGAACTGATTGATAGTTGTTTTTTTGGTTCTTTGAGGACAGCATTAAAAATAAATTTGTCTGGTTGAGTTGAAATTTGCATTTCAATTTGCGACAGGAGTTCAAACTTCAAACTTCTTCTCAATTTACTTTGCAGGTTGGTGGTCATGACAGATTAGGAATGCAATTAGTTCCCCTGAAAGCGCTTACTGCCCGCGAAACAAAGGAATTCACTCTTGATTTGCTTAAGCACACGAATATTTCTGACTCTCAGGACAAGAAGCGACGAGGGCAAATTATGTTGGAGCTGACCTATGTGCCTTTTAGAGAAGACAGTATCAAGTTTAGTGGACCTTTGGTTGGGAATGGTGGTAATGAAAGTGGAAGTGATAGGTCTTCTTCAGATAATGTATCATTGAGTGGAGCAGGTTTACTCTCAGTTCTGGTTCAAGGAGCTGAGGATGTAGAAGGGAATCATCACACTAATCCCTATGCTTTAGTCCTTTTCAGAGGAGAAAGGAAGAAAACTAAGGTGAACTTTCTTCGTTATAGGAATTATTAACTCCACTCCTGTATTACTGCATACGTAGTCTAGTCTTACATTTTATTTACATCTGCAATTTCATTCCTGCAGATGATTAAAAGGACTCGTGATCCACGTTGGGGTGAAGAGTTTCAATTTATGCTCGATCAACCTCCCTTGCATGAGTTGATTCGTATCGAGGTTATGAGCAAGCGATCAAGCTTTAGTTTCCGATCAAAGGTACAAAAACCATTAAATTTTTCATCAGGGTTGTGGTTTTGTTTGTTGTATTCTTATATTGTTGATGTTATTTTTATAATGAAGGAATCATTGGGGCATGTGGAGATCAAACTTGATGATGTTGTGAACAACGGACGCATCAACCAGAAATACCATCTAATTGATTCAAAGAATGGAGTGATACATATTGTGATTCGATGGAGTACAGTTTGAGAAATTGAACATTACTGTAAAGTGAATGGATGAAGAACACAGCTGCGATCAAAATTTAATTTTTATTGGAGGACCGAAGAGAGAGAGAAGTGAAATACTTGTGTAACATTTCATTTCTTATGTTGTAATACATATAATACATTTATTCTGTTTTGTGGGTGAAAGGCCTTCACTTGTATATGTAGACTGCATTGTTTCTATTTTCTAAAGGGATATGCCATATTTTATAGTAAAATTTACAAGTAATTGTTGAAACACTAAAATCTCGAGGGACTAATTTTATTTAGTTTAATATATATATTTTTTTAAGAAAAAAAACTTATTTAACACCAGGATCCTGTTATCCTGTCCGTAGAATTGTGTGTTGGGACTCACCAATAAATAAATAAATAATAATAAATATCGAGTAGTTAACAAAAATCTCTGTACATTTAATTAATAAAGTAAAACAATATAATGTTAGAAATTAGTAAACTAAGGATTGAAGTAGTCCACTCTATGTTTGTGTGAACCGTTAAAATAGCTCGTTTTCTTTTTTTATTTTTTGAGTTCAAATCTTAGAATTAATATTCAGAAATTCAAGAGATTGGTTTGAGTAAAAAAGACTCTAATTGTTTAAGGAAATGATTTTGGATTCGAATTTTTAAATATATAATTTTTTTTTAATAACTGTTCCATAGAAAAAAAAAAATCTGAACTTTTGAGCTTAGGATGCATAGAGAAATAAAAAAAAAATTAATATTAAGAATATATATATATAGGAAATGTATGTTAAAAACAGTTAAAAAAAGAGAGTTTACTTTTTGTTAAGGAATGAGTGATATCTCCATTTCAAAATTTGATTGCTTCCCTAGAAAAGAAGATGGATGATTATTGCCACAGCAAACAAAAGGGCTGTGCAGCTGTGCTGTAAACACCTTGGGCTGAGGAGGATGAATAGTAGAAAACCTATAAATAGACATTAGTATTGATAGATCATGGATGTCCCAATCGACAGGGAGCTTGCAAAGGCCTATTTCAATGGTTTGTCCAGTCCAAAAGGTTAGTAGGATCATTCATGCTGTTTGGCGGGCTATTTCAATTTTTTTTCTTTATCCTCGTTCCACCTAAAGACATGACTAATTTTATTTAAAATATAAAAAATAAAATTTGATTTTTTTTAATAAATACGATTTTAGGTTTCGAATTTTACATATTAACAAAAAATTCACTTGCAATCAGCTCGCGTATTATTAAGCCAACAACTCATTAGTTTTATCTAGTTTCAATTATGAAACATTTTACTTTCTAATAAAATTATAAAACGATAAAAAAAAAAAAGGAATGGCTTATTCTCATCATAAAATATCTTTCTTATGGAACTGGAAGCATTGTTCATAAATGAGAAAATTTAAGAATACTAGTACATATTCTAAGTAAAATATTCATAATTGAAACTCCAAAAAGATCAGATAAATAGACGATCTCAAGCCCAAGGCTAACAAAGTCTAAAAAACCAAGAATACAAATATAAAAAAGAAACACCTCAAAGGAAGGAGGCCACTAATGTTTGGAGAAGAGATTAAAGGGCCCATAAAGGGACAGATTAGAACCTTATTAATGGTTGCCAAATTCATGTATTTTCATTAAAGTGAACGTAGAAATTGCAAATAGACATTGTTAGGTACTTGAAGCGATCAGAACTATAATTGATTTATTAAAATCCAACTTAACCTCTTCAGTAATCCGTCCATATGAAACACCAAGAACCTCGTAACCTTAAAAGAGAACGAAAATGGAATGATCAATGGCATCCCCTTGTCCAAACCATTTACCTTGAAAATATTTTTATTGTAAAAAAAAAAAAGAACTCAATTAATGAAAGGTTAGTTGGCCAAACCACAGTTCACATTTCACAAGCTATAAAGTGCTAAAATTTTAAACTCATTCGCTAAAATGCAGATGGACCAAACCACAAAGTAGTTCCTTTTCTTTTTGTTTTTTGTTTTCTTTTTTTTCCCCCCACTTTCCCCTCTCTCTTTTTTTTCCCCCTAGAAACCGGTTAGCGACAAAGCTGTAAAGCATTTACTCATCTTTCACTTAAACCGAATTGCTATAGAGTGCATAAAAGAATTACGCCATGATTAGTCAGTATTATGAAACGATATCTTCTAATTTAATGATATGAAAATCAATTTATAATTTTAACATGAAGCTGAGAAAAATGTCCACAAATTAATTAACATGCTAGCTAGTCGATTGATGGGATCTTCGTTCGTAATAAGAAAAGAGTGAATATATATTGTAAGTGTTTAAAGTTGGTGATGTATATTTAATGGCTAAAAGGGACAATTTTTTCCTTTCATTTTAGTTTATTTAAAAATCAGATTTAAATTTATTATTATTTTTTTTATCTTTTCGAACTTTATTTTTTTTTAAAAAAAAAGTCAATTCTTCAATTTTCTTCTATAATTTTTCTTGCAAAATAACAGTGATATAAACACCTTCAAGATAAAAATCATCTAGTAAGATTTATTTGAAACTCTTTAAAAAATTTGAAATCATACCAGATTATTTTCTATTTTAATGATATGAAAATCAATTTATAATTTTAACACAAAGCTGAGAAATATGTCCACAAATTAATTAACATGCTATAGTCAATTAATGGGATCTTCGTTCATAATAAGAAAAGAGTAAAGATACATTGTAAGTGTTTAAAGTTGGTGATGCATGCATGTATAGTTAATGGCTAAAAGGGACAGTTTTTTTTCCTTTCATTTTAGTTTAATCAGATTTAAACTTTTTATTTGTGTTTTGATCTTTCCAAATTTTATTTTAGTTTTTAAATTCAATCAATTCTTCAATTTTCTTCTATAATTTATCCTACAATTATATAAATATCTTAATAATAAAAATCATTTAGTAAAATTTATTTGGAACTCTTTTAAAAAATTTGAAAATATTCCAGATTATTTTCTATTTTTCTCAATTTCTATATTTTTAATGTTCAAAAAATAAACAAATATTCAAATATTTATTCTGGAATATTTTTAAAAAATAAATTGGATTTTTTTCAACATATGTGCAAAACTTTAGATCAAAATACCAAAAATTGATTTTTTTAAAGAGGAGAGGTGATAGCTGAAAATTATGAAATGGAATAAGTTTATATAAATAAAAGTTCAAAAATATTAAAACGCAAATTAAAAATTCAGAGATTAATTTTTAAATATATTAAAGTTCTGGAAAAGTTGCAGAAGAAGAAACAAGTGATTCCATAACATTGACCCTTTTACCCATAATTAATTTATCCGTTAATTTCAATTGTTGAAGAAGAACAAAGTGATTCGATAACATTTTTGGGTAGCTTGTAATCAATTCGTTCCTCCCACTGACATGGGATAAATATCGGTGTCAAAAGATTGCTATGTGGAATAATAAAGAGGCCAAAACTTGCATGATTAGAAGAATTTGAAAGCTATCCCTACAGTGTAAGAGCACCGAGACTTCTTGGATAAATCCTGTTCTAGCTAGAATTAGAAGAATTTGAAAAACCCATTTCCACCATGTTAAGATGATCACTTAAAGAAAAAGTTAGTTAAAGTGTCATTAGATCACAAAAAAAATGTCATACAAATGACCCCCTCTTTAGCTAGCTAGTTGTGCAATAATGAGAATCATCACTTGAAAGCTAGCACTTCATCTATATTTCTACCAATTAATTGATCTCCTAGTGGAAACATCCCTTTAGAAGATCCATACAAAACTCAAGAAACCCTGATTGAAGGAGTCATTTGGGCAAACTTTTCACCTATAAATTGAAATTATGATGACCGTGAATAAGCAAAAAAAGTATATATGATATATGCACGCTAGCTAGTGTCAAATGATAGTGAAAGATTTCGTTCACAAAGAGAGTTCTAGATCGACATAATCTTAACCATATGGACCCCAAAGAATGCATGGATTAGGGTTTGACTTGCTGTTGATAAATAGTAGAAAGATTTCATGTGACATCATGATTAAGGAAAACCACCACTCTTGCTTAGTTGTTGTTTTCCTGTTTTGGATATGCATGCATGGCTGGAGAGTCTTTTTTAATTATTATATATATTACTACTATATTGTTTCAAGTAGCTAGTGGTGACACTTAAGAGCGAAATTGACTTCTGATAATTAATGTTCTTGCTTTTGTTTTAATAATTAATGATATATACTTTTTTAATGTAATGTTAATCTTACATATATTCCCAAGAATATATATATATATATATATTCTCCTAAACACTGATGCAATCAACTTATGTTTGCCTACCCAACCAAGAAGAGAATACCAATGTAGGGTGAGAAAACCTAGCTACAATATGATATTGTTTTTAGGGTTCCAAGACACTTGAAGATTCTTTAACGTTTGGTTTATTGTTAAATTAATTAATTATATATCTTATTATAAATGGGATGAAGGCAAGATATCAGGTTATGGGGTACTGTGATTAATTTCCAAGTGCAGGACATCTCATCCTCTTAATTAAATCAACTCCTAAGTGGGAGGCACCATAAGAGGGAGAGGTTCCCTTTGTATAATAATAAAATTAAAGGCTCCAGCTTTCTCGTTGACTTGCCCCAGAAAGTCTGGCAAATTTAGAGGCAGTAAAGGGAATCCTATCCCTGCACCCTCAAAGGTTTTTATGAGGATTCTTTATGTTAATGGATCTCCACTCATTGTATGGAACCCTTCATTACTCTTCTCTTTCTCCCTTTTTTTTTTTCAAATTTTTTTTTCATCTCTAACAAGTTTTGTGTGTGTGTGTGTGTCATGTGTGCTCTTAAAAGCAAGGGTGAAATGAAAAGGAGTCACTGTCTTGGTTCCTTGCTGATGTTCTCTTGTGGGGGATAGGAATAACTTTTTGCCATTTAAAAAGATAGAACATTTTCCTTTTAAAAGGTTGTCTTTTAAGAGCGGTAAAGCAAGTGGGAATAGGAAACTCCACTCAAAAATCTCTTGGGTTAGCTCTCAA